GAATGGGCTCTTCTCGTTTCAGACCAGGCAGCTGGAGCCTCTGCTCTCACACTTCACCGAGGAGGAGGAACTGCAGATGAAACGGATGCTGCAGCGGATGGACGTCCTTGCCAAGGTGCAGGGGAGGTGGGGACAGGCACTGCTGCCGATGGGGACACATGGCAGGCAGCCTCAGCAGCCCTCTGTGCCTCCTTCACCCCACAGAGAGCCACGGAGACAGGAGTGAGGCTGATGGTGGATGCAGAGCAGAGCTACTTCCAGCCAGCCATCAGCCGTCTCAGCCTGGAGATGCAGCGCCGCTTCAACAGGGAGCGGGCCGTCATCTTCAACACCCACCAGTGCTACCTGAAGGTGAGGCAGGGGATGGAGTGCACGGATTGGTGATGCTGTAAGCAGTTCAGTGTGGCTTTGGAATGGCTGGTGGCACCAGTTTGGTGACCCTGGGCCATCTCTGCCCAGGAAGCTTACGATAATGTGAGTGTGGACGTGGAGCTGTCGCGCCGGGAAGGCTGGCACTTTGGCACCAAGCTGGTCCGTGGAGCCTACATGGATCAGGAGAGGGAGAGAGCAGCGAAGATTGGCTATGAGGATCCCATCAACCCCACCTATGAGAAGACCAATGAGATGTATCACAGGTAGGGGTTGCCCCCACCACACTCCTGCCTTCCTCCCCAGAGTGATGGGGCAGCCTCACCACGCAGCCCCCTGCTGCCCTGCAGGTGCCTGGACTATGTGCTGGAGGAGATCAAGCACAGCCGGAAAGCCAACGTCATGGTGGCAACTCACAATGAGGACACCGTCAAGTTTACCCTGCGCAGGTGGGTGCTGGTGGGGTGCCCAGTCCCTGCTCTACGCACGGGACATGAACGGTCTCTGTTCTTTTCTTAACATCGAGGTTTGGCTTGCAGGATGATGGAGCTTGGGATCCATCCTTCAGAGAAGAAGGTCTGCTTTGGGCAGCTGCTGGGCATGTGTGACCAGATCACTTTCCCCCTAGGTGAGTGCTGCAGCATCAGCACCTGGGAGCAAGCAGGATGTGGCAGAGGGCTCCTGTCCCACTGTCACACCAAGGTATCCCTGAGCAGCTGCTGTGGGATTTGAAGGCAAGATGGAGCCAGGCTGTGGGTTGCTGGCAGACTGGCTGAGGACTTCTGGTCTCCGGAACCCAAGGCCAGGGGAGTAGTGCAAGGCAGACTGGGCAGCTGTCCAGAATGGATGCTGCTCTGTCCTGGAGTTCCCCCAGTAAGCAGGGCTTGGCTCTGGGTCTGCAGCCTCCTCTGGTCATGCTGGAAAAATGTGTTAACTTGATGTTTCTATTTGAATGCTTCTTAAATTGGCCCGGCCCTCCCTGCTGGCATTCCCAGGGCTGCCGGTGACCTCGGCACTCTCTCTCTGGCACCTTCCCAAATCCCTGTGCAAAGCAGGGAGGGGACAGGCTGCTGTGTTTTCCCCCCCAGCTGTCCCAGACAGGCTCCCTCCATCTGGCCAGAGATGCTCCCAGGCTTCCTGTGGGTTGCTCAATCCCATCCTCCAGCCCTCACATGCTGGGCTCGCCTTACTTTCCCCCACACACACACAGGCAGGGAGCTGGGCTGGCAAATGTGACATCCCTGTGTCCCCAGCCCTGGTTGTCTAGAAACCATCACTGCTACCTGGAGTGCTCTGGGTTGCTATGCCTGGATCCTTGCCCTTGGTCACAGCAGTGCCAATGGTGCGTTGGAGGATCTTTGGGGCACTTCTATGCTCTCCCTCTCTCCTTCCAGGTCAGGCTGGCTTCCCTGTCTACAAGTACGTCCCCTATGGCCCGGTGGATGAGGTGCTGCCCTACCTGTCCCGCCGTGCCCAGGAGAACAGGGGCTTCATGCAGAGAGCCAACAAGGAGCGGGACCTGCTCTGGAGGGAGTTCAAGCGGCGACTTTTGGCAGGCACCATCTTCAGCACCAAACCCTGACCCCTGCAGGACCCAACCTGTGCCCAGCAGCGGGGCTCTTGTGCCTTCGTGTTAACCACTAACCCCAGCTCCTCTGCCTTGTTGTGTTGCTGTTTTTCCTCCTGAGGCCTTTGCCTGAGGGGGAGATGTTCTCTCATTGCTGTAGAACTACATCCTCCTTCTGGAGGCCACTACTGTAGGGCTGCCTAGCTGCCCCAAGTGATGTCCCTCTGCTGTTCTTTGGCAGAGCCAAAGCTCTCAGTGCCTTGTGACCATGCCAGCCCTGGGACACCTATCATGGGGTTGGGATCTGCTCAGCCACGTCCCTGTGCCGTCCTGTGAGGCCAGGGCAGTTCTGGGGGTCAGGGAACCAGGAGTCCAGGAAGTTGGGCTGCAGCTCAGCTCTGCCAATCACTGCATTTGCAGCAAATTACAACAATTAAAGCACTGCTGCTCTTGTTCCTCGAGTCTGTGGGTAGCGTTGCGTTCTGCATTGCTTCCCTGATAGCAAAGGCTGGGGGGGTGCTCCAGCCAAAGCTGCAGTGTGCTTTCTCGCAAGGGTGCTGGATGCAGCAGCAGGGGGAGTTGTGAGGCAGAGCCCATACTGTGCAGCAGCCATCGCAGCAGCTGTACTCCAATGCTGGGAGAGGTCCGAGCACACGTGAGCAGGGCTCCTTCCAAGGGGCAGAGCCTGGCTGTGTCCCCACCGGATGGTGCTGAGTGCCCCAGGGGCCACGGCACGGTCCTTCCCCGGGAAACAGCTGCAGGGAGTTCTTGAACCACTGACAAAACAGCGTATTTTTCCTTTGCTTTGTCTTTGGAAATGCTATAACGCTGGGGTTCCTCTCTTTCTCTTTTGCTGGTGTCTTCCAAAGCATGGTTCAGTGGGAAGAAAGCACCTGGCAGTGCAGCTCCAGCCCAGAGCCTGAAGAAGGAACTGCAGAGTTGGAATAGAGAGCTCTGAGGTGGGCTCGTGGAGCACCAGTGCTGCTTCTCTTAAAGGCAAAAACCTCATTGGGACCAGAGGGAGAATAGGAGCAGTTGTGGCTGATGTCCATGGGGCGTGCATCACCTCCAGCTCTGAGGGTGGGCACCAGAGCAGCCCTGCTTTGGAGGCAGCCTGAAGGTCCTTGTGCCTCTTGGGGAATGCAGGGTTCACAACGGATGGATGGATGGATCCGTCCTGCCTGTAGGACAGGGCCAGGGATCTGCTGCCAGCACTGTGGATACAGGGGCAGGGGACATGGCAGGAGTGGAGGGAGGTGCTCAATGATTTGAAATCTGAGGTCAGGGAAGGCAAGTAAGTAGGTGGGTGACAGTTGTAACACCCAGGGAGTTGGGAGATGGTTTCTGCACAGGCAGACAGGGTAGGAGGAAGCTGAGTGCAGCTCGGGAATGGTGTCCCCATCCGTATCATTTCAGGGCAGTGACATCGGTCCCCAATGGCTGCCACCCCCCAGCCCCTCCCTCTGCACCCATGGCTGCTCGCATCATGATCTGCCCGTGCACAGGGACAGGGTGAAAGCAGCTTCCAGGCATGGCTCTGCCTCACGAGTCCCTGTCAGTGACCTGGTGACAACACAGCTCCGTGGGAAAGTAGCCCAAGGGGGTCCTGGTTGCTCCGTGCTGTGGCATCGCTGCTCCATGGACCAGAATGTGATAAATCCAGGAGTCGGCGGTGAGCAGCTGCTCATCCGCTCCCTTCACTCGCGGTGTTCGGGACACGCCCCGGCTCTCTCCCGTCAGATGCAGTCGGAGCATCCTCTCCTGGAGGCGTGCGGTGCTCAGAGGCGGCAATGCAGGAGATGCCCGCAGCCCCTCGGTGGGAGAGAACACAGCCATTCCTATTAAGACCATCGATCCGAGCGCCTGGGGTAGCCGGTCCTGCACGGAGCGGCGATGCTCTGTAGTATTCAAGGGACACTGTTTGTGCAACCACGTGGCAGATGCTCGGCGTGTCCCCCGTCCACGCTAGGGATTTGGGATTGCTAGAAGCGCTCCATGAGCCCCCCCACTTCCTAACTGTGCCCCTCTGAGGGAGTTACGAGTGGCTGCCGCTGCGGGCACCGCTCGGGGCTGCGGGCACCGCTCGGGGCTGCCGGAGCCGGGCACAGCCTCCATCGGGGCTATCGCGACTCCGGATCCTGCCGTTCTACACCCGCACCGCCGCTCCGCAGCCCGCACACCGCTGCCGTCGGGGCTCGGGGCCGGGGTCGGACGCGGGGAGGAGGCGGCGGCGGCGGCCCCCGGAGCCTGGCCCGCCGTCAGGGGAACCAATGCGGAATTTCCTGGCTGCCGGCGGGGCCCCTCCCGCCGCCGCCGAGAGGGGCGCGGGGGAGGCGGCGGCGGCGGCGGCGCGGAGCTCGCACTGCAGTTTCCGTCCGCCGAGAGCGGCCGTCGGGGCAGGGCAAGGCAGGGCAGGGCAGGGCGGCACCGGGCACCGCGCAGCCGAGCCGAGCCCCGTATGGGATGGGCCGGGTCGGGCCGGGCCCCGCCGCGCCGACGGCCATGGCGGCCCTGGGGCTGCGGCCGCCGCGCCCAAAAGGAACCGCGGTGCCGCTGCTGCTGTTGGCGGTGCTGAGCTGCGGAGCCGCGCAGGAGCTGAGCCCACGGGGCAGGAACGTGTGCAGGGCTGCAGGGTAGGAGAGAGGGGAGGAGAGGGCAGGTGGGGCCGGGCGGGCGGCCGGGAAGGGAAGGGGGGGGGGGGCGCGGGCCTGGGAACGCGCGGGGCGGGGCGGGGGGGAGGGGGCGATGGGTCCCATCGTGGCGGGGGGAGATGGAACCGGATGTCCCGGGTTCGGATTTTAGTGTCCCGGGTCCGGATTTTGCTGTCTCGGGTCTGGATTTTTGATGTCCCGGCTCTGAAGCTGTGTGTCCCGGTTCTGAATCTCGGTGTCCCGGGTCCGGATTTTGGTATCCCGGGTCCAGATCTCGGTGTCCCTACGCCGGTCCTGCAGGGAGAAGCCGGTTCTGAGCGCCCCGGGTGTGGTCCCGCAGTGGGATGCGGGATGCTGCGGGTGTCCCCCGCTGGAGCGGCTCCCGGAGCGCTCGGGGCGGCCGCGTTGGCAGCACCGGGACAATACTTGGCGTTGGCTTCAGAGCAAAGGTGCCGTCCCCGGGGGTCGCCCTCTGTCTGTTCCCCCCCTCCCTTTCCCCTCTCGGGCTCAGTGGTCCCAAAGCTGCCTCATCCCGCCGAAGAGACCCCTATATGGGGGGGGCGATGGGGGGAAGGGCAAGCCATAAATGCACCTTTTTACATCTCGCCCGTGAGGTCAGGAAAGTCCACAAGGAAAACATGTGCTGCGCGCTGGAGAGGCCGCATAATGGCTCCATTCAGCCCGGCCGCGGGGCGCTGGTGCCCCCTCCTCAAATTACAGTTTCCGAAGGAGGTTTTGCCAGAGCAGCACAGCCTCAGTACTCGGCAGGGGGGGAGGGAGGTTGCACCGGGTCTCCACATCCCCCTGTAAAACCGGTGCCCAGCAAAGCTGTCGCTTAGGGTGGCAGTGGGGCTGCAAGTGGTGACCCTTGGGGCCAGCCCAAGAAGCTGCGTCCATGCAGTTCTGTGGATTGCATAGGGTAGGAGAAAGGGATGTGTTTTGGAACTGTTTGGTTTGCTGTGTGCTAAATGTGACTGCTCCTCTTGAGCTCAAAGCTCTTGTTAAGTTACCATGTCCCCCTTCTGTTGGAGAAGCAGGGGTGCAGGGTGATGAGTGCAAGCGCTGTGTGTGTGGGAATTGCTGTCTCCCTAACTCTCCTTTGGCCATTCTTTTCCTGTACGAAGAATTTCCTTTTTGCCACACAAGGTACGGAGTGACGGGTGGTGTGGAGAAAGAAGGGGCTCAGCACCAGGGTGATGCTGCTCCCCGGTTTGGTGTGGTGTGTGAGCACTGGGATGGGCATGCAGCTGGAGCAGGTGGCAGCGGTGCTCTGGGCTGTGGGGTTTTCACCTCCATCCATTTGTGCAGCTCCCAAACTCTCAGTAGGATGCAGGACGTGGGATGCTCAGTGGGATGCAGACAACTCCCAGGAGCAGGGACAGCTCGGGCTTTGCCCCATTATGCGCTCCTTTTCATCTGCACCAGTGAAATCCCCATCAGTTTGGCAAAGTGATTCTTTTTCCCCTTTCTCGAGGGGAAAAGGCAGTAAAACAGAAAGAGAAGGGATGTGCCGAGGGAAGCAACGGGTCCGTGGGCAACCTGAAGGATGCTCTGAGGCTGAGCCCCGGTCCCAGCTGTGCTGTGGGGTGCAGGGAGGTGGGTCAAGCTTTGAAATCTGAGCGCGTTGGTTTGCTGTCAGAGCAGCTGATAAGGGAGGGGAGGCTGAGGAGGGAGGTGTCGGACACGGCCCAGCAGAGGCGATTAGCTATCTGCCAGGAGATAGCTTTAATCCCAGTGCTGCGTGTGGGCTGCCCTAAGGACCCACTCATGGTGCTTCAGTCACAGTGCAGCGCTATGGGCGCCGTGGTCCTTCCTTGGGCAGGATGACCCCCTTCCCACCCATCCCCAGCAGAGCTCATGGGGCTTTTGGGGAATGAGACCGCACGGGCACAGCTCGTTGGACTCCATCGTGGCACATTTTCAACCCATGGAGCCCGGTGGATTTCACTTTGGGTCCTCCTGTCCCCTCACGGAGAAGCTTTGATTGGTGCCCCATTGCCTTTCCTTGTGTGTTTCATCTCCCTTCCAGGGCACAGACCCTGCTCCAGCCCTGGGCTCAATCACAGCGCTGTGTAATCTCACTGACGGACGGAATGGATGGAGCTATTTTGGTCTCCAGCTGCAAGGCATTTTTTCCAGGCCCTGAATCATTTTTGTGGTTCCTTTCTGCCTCCCGTCCAATTTTTCAACATCTTCCACGAGAGGCGGCCACGGTGCTCCCATGTTGGTGCTGCCCCATTCGGCCCAGCCCGTGTCCCACCGGGGGCTGCTCCCTGCTACCCCCCAGCCCACAGCAGCTCCTTCTGGCAGCCAGACGTGGTCCTGTGACTGCGCTGCGTTTCACGAATACTTCCTCGCTGTCTCCTCCTCCTCTTCTGCATTTGTTACATATAAAGGAAAAAAAAAAAAAAAAAAAAAGAAAAGCTTTGCATTCCAGGCTCTGCCACTGGTCCAGCCCATGTCAAGTTTTCCTCGACTGCAGCATGCCTTTGGATTGCTCCAGAGCCTCCAGGATTGCTCCCATCCATAGGGTATAGCTCCAGTTGTGCGGGCAAAGCTGCACGAATTGAAGGATGTAATGGGTTTGTGCTGAGAAGGGGACGTCCCCTCCGCATGGGGTGTCCCTGTGCCCCTCTTCTGAGGGCTGTAGTGGTTGAGAGGGGATGGGGCGAGATGCCACCATCCTACCTTGGGATGCCATCCCCGTGCTGCCACGATGCCAGGCACCAAACCCATCTGTAGGTTCCCATAAGCACTCCTTGGCTTTGCCCAGGCTTTCCTCCCTCCTATCTATTATTTTCCAGTGCCTTGGTTAAGAATACGCTCATTTTAGTCTATCCTTTAAATCACATCTGGTGGTAAAATAATCCGCGCCATTTTCTGCACGTGGGGCACACAGATGTTGGGTATGGTCATCCCACGCCCAGCACTGCTGCTGTTTTCCTCCTTGTTCTCTGCTGAGCCCTGCACTGAGCTGGGTGCCCATGCATGGCAGAATTGGTTCTTGACATCATCACAGCATCGCTGGCAGGTTTCCAGGAAGGACAGCAGCTTTCCAGATATCCCAACCATTTGTGGACTTATTTTTCCTGCAGCTCCTCGGTGCTCGTGTGCTGCCCAGGATGGAGGCAACAAGGAAGCGAGTGTCTGATAGGTAAGCAGCAATGCTGAGGTCGTGAGACAGCCTTGGAGCTGTGTAGTGCACCCCAGCTCGCCTTGGGGTGCAGCCCTTGGACACGAGATGCAGTGTGGTGCCCCCTGCGTGCTGCCACAGTGCTGGAGGGCTGTGGCAGAGGATGAAGGCACAGCCACGTGCTTTTGCAGAAAGGCACCGGTGCCACCGAGCCCATAGGAAGCCAGGGCAGCCCCTGCTGTGCCACCATGCAGGATTTGGGGACCCTGTGTGTCCCCTCAGTTTGGGGTGGCAGTGGTGCCCAGGCAGCCGGTGGGCTGCAGACCCCATAACCAACTAACTCACCCTGCATGCGCCCTCATAACCACTCGCTGCATGCAGCTGGTGCAGGAAGGGAGAAGGATGCTCAGCGGGGGAGGATGGTCCCGCAGCAAACTGTCCCCATCTCCTCTCCCCACTTTCCCCCAGGCTGCTCTAACCGTTAGACTCACCGCCTCTAACCTGTTCCATCTGTCTATTTTAGGGTTTTCTATAGTCCCCATCACCGTAGGTCTAACAACAGCCAGGTAAGGCGCTCGGTGCGGGTGCTCTGTTCCCCCTCTCCTGCTGGCCAAGGGCACTTTGTGGGGCCATGGGGCCAGCACTGTGCCATGCCCTAGAGCTCGCTCCCCTTTGGCACAGGGGAGCTCGTGGGCTGGGGGTGCTGGGGCAGCACCTCCATAGGGAGGTTAGAAGGAAGGGAGCTGTGCTGGTGGCTGCTTGTGTTCCCCTGTCCCACGTCCCACATCTCGCCCGCAGCACAGGGATGAGTGAGCAGGGTGGCAGGGGGCTGGGGCAGGGATGGAGCCGGGGATGGTGGCAGGAGGATGGTGGCATCACCGCTGTGATCTCCATGCAGTGTCACAGTTCAGTGACCCCCGTGGTGCCACCGTGCACCCCGTCCCCTGCTGTGGGGGTTGGGGACAGGGATGAGCCTGGTGGCACACAGTGGGGACCATTCAGCCGTGTCCTCACGCTCTGTTGTCGGTCCATCTGCCCAGCCGTCTGCGAAGGGAATTTCACCTGCAAGGAGAACGAGGTGTGCGTGAGACCCGGCGAGTGCCGCTGCCGCCACGGCTACTTCGGTGCCAACTGCGACACCAGTGAGTACCAGTGGCACCACTGGGGCACCCCAGGGTGGGCCATCTCACATAGGGAGCCTGTCACCTAAGCGTGCTAGGAGCAGTGGGGATGGAGAGGAGCAAGAGGTGCCGCTTGCACAGGGTCACCCATGGCTGACTGCAGCGCTGTTCCACCTGCAGAGTGTCCCCGTCAGTTCTGGGGCCCCGACTGCAAGGAGATGTGCAGCTGCCACCCCAATGGGCAGTGTGAAGATGTGACGGGTCAGTGCACCTGCAACCCCAACCGCTGGGGCCCCAAATGTGAGAACATCTGCCTCTGCAAGCACGGCAAATGCGACCAGAAGACGGGCAAGTGCACCTGTGAGCCCAACTGGTGGGGTCCCCAATGCTCCAGCTCCTGCTATTGCAGCCACAATTCCCAGTGCGACCAGCAGACAGGAAACTGCCTGTGCCAGCCGGGCTGGTGGGGCCGTGGCTGTAACAACCAATGCTCTTGCAACAACTCACCCTGTGAACAGTTCACCGGGCGCTGCCAGTGCCGTGAGCGCACCTTTGGGCCCCGCTGTGACCGCTACTGCCAGTGCTACAAGGGGAAGTGCAACCAGGTGGATGGCACCTGCACCTGTGAGCCGGGCTACCGCGGCAAGTACTGCCGTGAGCCGTGCCCAGCTGGCTTCTATGGGCAAGGCTGCAGGAGGAGGTGAGTGCTGGGGCTCGAGGAGGGAGGTGGGAGCTGTGGGGTGCCATGTGCCACGTGTCCCTTCCTTGTTGCAGGTGTGGGCAGTGCAAGAGCCTGCAGCCCTGCACCGTGGCAGATGGGCGCTGCCTGACGTGTGAGGCGGGTTGGAATGGCACCAAGTGTGACCAGCCCTGCTCGCCTGGTTTCTATGGGGAGGGCTGCGAGAAGCTCTGCCCCCCCTGCAAGGATGGCCACACCTGCAACCATATCAATGGCAAGTGTTCACACTGCAACCCCGGCTGGATTGGAGACAGGTGAGTGCTGCACGGCCCAGCTGGTGCATGCTGGTGCAGTGCTGCGTCCCTGCATGGGGTCTGGGAGTGGGTGCACAGCTGGGGCAGCGGGAATGGGCTGAGCCTGCTGGCATGGCCATGGGGCCATAGGGAGCCTCAGGGACCCCAAAGCCAAGCACACGGGGCCATGGGATGCACAATGCCACGGTGCTTCTATCCTCTCAGTGACCTTAACAAACAGCGGGGCTCAACTCTGAAACTTTCTTGGAGCCACCTGGGGTTGGGTCTGAGGCTCTGCAGCACCTTTATGGGGCCGACAGCACCCAGCCCCATCCCCTCGCGCAGAACAAATGGGAAACAGAGTAGGATGACCAGGATGGGCACAGTGGGGGGCACCATGAGAAATCCCCTCTCCAGCGCTTCAGCTGCCTTCACCTCTCCCCAGGTGTGAAACCAAGTGCCGCAACGGGACGTATGGGGAGAACTGTGCCTTCGTCTGCAGCGACTGCGTCAGCGGCGAATGCCACTTCGAGACGGGCCGCTGCCTGTGCCGCGCCGGCTCCCATGGCACATAGTAAGCAAACCACTGCGGGACCCCGGGCACTCAGCACTGCTTGGCATCACCTCCATCCCCTGTCTGCTCCCGCCCCTGGTTGGGGTGGGGGTTCCGAACAAACCTGAGGTGGCAGCACCCGATCCCCCTGAGCTCAGCAGGGCGCTCTGCAGGGCCACCGTGTGCCTCTCGCTGAGCTGCCGGATGGGGTTTCTTGACGAAAGGATTTTGCTTTAGGAAATGGCCATTTGGCAAAAACAAATGCCTTTGACAAAACTCGTTTTTTTTTTTGTGTGTGTGTGTTGTTTTTTTTTTTTTCCCCCAAGTTCAGGGTGGAATTTCTAGCTGAAAACAGAGAGAAAACCACATCCCAGAATAGCACATAGCCTCACGGGTATGGCATCTGTGTGGTGCTCCCTCTCCCAGCAGCAGCTCTCACTGGGGGCTGCTCACCCAGGAGGAGCCCAAAGCCCCCCAGCCCTTTGGCTGTGCCCATCTCCAACCAGCAGCAGGCCCTGTCCTAATGCATGCTCGTCCCCTTTGCTTTCTCCCAACGTGAAATAGAAGCGCTGTCTGAAAGGAAAGTGGCTGGAAGCACTGGAGGGAAGGCTGCTGAAATGTCTGCAGTGGGCATAAAGCCCTCTATTGCTCCACATCATTCCCATGGTATCTCCTGAAATCAGTCCGCCTGGGGTAGAAATATGGGTCCAGCTGATGGGTGTAGCTTGGACTGTCTGGGAGATATCCCTGCTCCCATCCCTGCATCCCCCTGCAGCTACTTGTGGGGGTTCAGGGCACGTGGCTCAGCCACGGCGGTGCTTTGAAAACCAGAGAGCGTGAAATGTGGCTGAGCCAAGGGAGCAGCTGCAGCCCCAGGAGAGAGAGGCTGGGATCGGGGCCACGGTGTTGCCAGCTGGGAGCAGCTGGCGTTGGGCTCAGGGCCATCAGCCCCGCTGCATCCATCCCAGTGCCCATGCTGTTGGCAGTGGGGTCCCACATAGCATCATCCCAAACTGCTGCTGCCCCCAGAACTCTGAGGACAGGATGCTCGGTGGGAGGGCACCCAGAGCCTGGGCTGTTTTGGGTGGTGCCCAACGCACTGCCCACCTTCCAGCCCTGGTTTGTGCTCCTCTCCATAGTGCTGAGCTGAGAGGCTGTGCCCTGGCAAGGAGGGCACTTCAGCCATAGTTGTTCTTCCTTCTTACATACAGTGAGCTGAGAGGTTTCCAAGCTCATGGGCTGCAGTGGAAGGGCTCCATGTGTGTGCAGGCTGTGCACGGGGCACATGGCCACATCACATTAGCAGTGCTGAGCTGAGACCTGGTGCAGATGCTCTGCTGGGTTGGTACTGCTGATGGGTTAGTGACCCGTTGTCACCGCAGTGCTACAAGCCTCGTTGCAAAGCCTTGTGCAGCACGTGGGGGTGGAGGAGGGCTCTCAGAGACAGCAAACATGGGGACAAGCAGGAAGGTGGCACAGTCCCCCATGGAGATGCTGTCAGTGCAATCCAGCACTGTGTCACCTGTTTTTCCCTGAGTAGAAGGAGTTTGGGAAAGGAGAGCAGGGAACATCCCCGGGATGCATCACCCCACCCTCACCCCTCACCCTCTCCCCAGCTGTAACCTCACCTGCCCGCCCGGCCACTATGGAGCCAACTGTGCTCAAGCCTGCAGCTGCCACGACGGTGCCTGCGACCCGCTGACGGGCGCCTGCCACATGGGTGAGTTGTAGGGTTGGGGTGCTGGGATGCCTGTGGCTGGTGTCTGAGCACGCTGTGTCTTGCAGAGGCCAACCAACGGATGGGGGTGATTGGGGCCGGAGCTCTGCTGGCGCTGCTGCTCATCCTCCTGCTGTCGCTGCTCTGCTGCTGCTGCGTCTGCCGCAAGAAGGATGAAGGGCACGGGTGAGTGGATGCTGGCAGGGAAAGGGGAGGACGGAAGGGAGATGTGGGGTACTTTCCCATCCTCGTGAAGATGGGGAAAAGAGAGCACAGGGTGGGAGCAGGAGGACCCTGCACTTCAGGGGATGCCTCCTGGCTTTGTGTCCCTGTTGTTGGCTATCACCTCACTGGGACCCAGTGGGTCCCCAGGGCTGGAGCCTGCAAAGGGAAACCTAGAGCATGCTGAGTTATGGCTGCGATCCCCAAAATGGCACGGGGATGAAGGCAGGAGTGTGCACAGCAGCTCCCACAGCGGGGCTGGGCTGCAGGGTCTGCAGGACAAAGTGAGCCCCTCCAGTCCCTGCTGCAGGGATGAGGACAAGGGATAGGGATGGGGATAGGAGTAGGGATAGGGATGAGGATGGGGACAGGGATGGGGGTGGGGGTGGGGATGGGGATGGGGATGGCTGCTTATTGGGAAGAAAGGGGCCGGGGGAGCTCCCCCAGCTGCACAAAAGCCGTCCCTCGTGCCGCCGGCCGCTGTGCAGGAATTTTCCGGAAGCCTCTGCTTGCAGCCGTGCCAGCTCCACTCCAGCCCAGCACATCTGGTTTGGAGAGCCTGTGGGCTGCATGTCATTATGCCGCAGATAAAAGGAGCCACTTCCCAAACTCAGTGCTGCTCGGAGAAGTCTTGCATGGGAAATAGCTCCAAAGAGTTTCCTCTCCTCGGGCGCTGCAGGGTGCCCAGATTCCCAACTGCCATCTCAATGTCCTGTGCCAAAGCGTTCCCAGTGCCAGGAAGGGCTGTGGCAGGGGTACTGCAGTGGCCGTGGGTGCACACAGGTTGAGTGGCATTGCTGCACAGAGCCTCTTGCTGCTGTGGCTGCGGATAATTGCCTGAAAGCTCATCCCCGAGAGACTTTAAAACCAGAGAGCAAATAAAGAGAAGCCACGTGTTTGTTTGGGGTTGGGATTCTTTTATTTATTTTTTTTATTTTTTTCTGAAGTTAATCATATGATTCAAGGGCCTGGATGGGAGCTGTGGGTGTTTAGGGCACGGTCTGGCTCTGCCACAAGGCGAGCTGAAGCACACGGCTGGCAACAGCCCTGACCCCTGCCCTGAGCCATCCTGGGCTTCCGCTGGGGCAAAACCAATGGGGAATACACTGCTGTGGTATCTCTCTGTCCTGCCTCTTCCCCAAACCCTTCTTCATGTTCAGCATCCCTGAGCCTCCAGCTCGATGCATGGTTCCACGATCGATGGCCCCGGTGTGACCATTGCCCTGATGGGGTCGTTGTGTTTCCCTGCAGAGCAAATCAGGACCCGGTGGCAGCCAAGAAGCCTCCGAGACGCTTGTGTGGGCGCTTCAGCCGCATCAGCATGAAGCTGCCACGCATCCCCCTGCGCCGCCAGAAGATGCCCAAGGTCGTAGGTGAGGCACCGAGGGGCAGAGCAGGGCCAACGTGTGCGACCTGCTGTGCTTCTCCCGGCCCCAAACCCATGCAGAGCGCACCGGGGCCAGGGAAACATCCCCACTGCAACCCAAACAGGGGCCGTATTTGTGGAAGGGGCTGAGCAGGGCTCGGGGAGGAGGACAGAGGGGGCTGTGTGCGCGGGGCTCAATGGGGCTGTGTGCGCGTTTCCTGCAGCCGCCCCGCAGCAGCTGGCTCCCACCCAGCAGCGCTGTGTAAACACAGAGGAGAGGGAGGGGATGGCCTCAGCTCCAGGGCTCTGTGCATTACAACCTGCTGTGGGGTTGGGGCTATGCAGCGAGGCCACCCAGGACCCCGGAACAAAGGGATCTGTGCCAGCAGGCAACAAGGGACCCAGGCACGCAACGGCTCCGACCGCTTGGGGCTGGCCTTGGAGAAATAACATCCGTCCATCATCATCTGGCAGCACAGGGACCTGCAGCCCTGCTTTGCTAGGGGCAGGCAGGAGCCCCAGCACATCTCGGAGCTGCTGTTGGTGCTCCTCTTCCTCCAGCCATCCCCTTGGTCCCATTCGAGTCCTGGAGATGCCGCGTGGCCACAAGTCCCAGCACCCCGTCACGCCTTCTCGCAGGAAGCAGTGCGCTTCATCTGCTTCCAACGGTCTGCTTCTGATTTTCTTTTTTTGGGTTTTACAACAAGGAAAGTCATGCCGGAGTGGCTGCCTTCCCCACTCTGGGCCATTTGCTCTTTAAATATCTCCACTGCTTTTGCTCTGGCTCTGGAGTTTCTCTCAGCCTCTGCATCCTCCCCCATCCCTTATACAACAGGGTCCCCTCGTCTTGCTGGTCCATTCCTGTCTCAGGTTTATTCCCTCTCACACAGACATCTCCATGATCTTTTATCCCCTGCACAGTGCTGTGTGTGGGGAGCGTGGCTGCTTGCAACCATGGCTCATCCCAGGGTGGGTGAAGCAGGGCTGGGCCCCAGCAGGGCAGGCACTGGCTGATGGCCACTTTCCTGCCCTGGCAGTAGCTCACCACGACCTGGAGAACACACTGAACTGCAGCTTCATCGAGCCACCTTCAGTGGTGGAGCAGCCTTCCCCGTCCTGGTCATCCCGTGGTTCCTTCTCCTCCTTTGACACCACGGATGAGGGGCCAGTGTACTGCGTGCCCCATGAAGGTGAGACTCACGGATGCTTCCCTGGGTGCTGCATGTAAAGACGAGGGCTGGAGGTGGCCCTGCGATGGGGAAGGTGGGGGTCCTGTGGCATAGGGGGACCTGAAGGCATGCAGAAGAGGTAGGGAGGGACCAGGTGAGACAGGGCAATGGGGAGCCCAGTTTTGCCTCTGTCCCACCACTGTGCATGGGGTTTTTTTTGCCATGAGGGCAACAAGGCAGTGGCGTAGGGTCCAGAGAAACCCTATAAGTGGAGGTGCTCAAGGCCAGGCTGAATGGGGCTTTGAGCAGCTGGAGGCAGTTGTCTAACAACGGGATCAAGTTGGGCTGGATGGCATTTTAAGGCTCCCTTCCAATCCAAACCATTCCGTGCCTTCATGACACATCCATGCTTTCTTCCCACAGAGAGCGTGGGTGACAGCAGGGACAGAGCACCGTCCTCCAGCCCCGGTGAGAAGCTCGTGGCCCCAGCCAGCGGGGAGGAGGCAGCCGAGTACAGCTTCCTGAAGGAGACGGGCTCTGTCAAGGCCTTCCATGCCGACAGCAGCGAAACACCCCTGCTCAAGTCCTCGGACAGCGAGCGCTCATCCTGCGGGTCAGGCTCGGCCAGCGCCGCGCTCTATGCCAAGGTCGCCCGCCTCTCCAAGCATTCCAAGGAGGAGGAGGAGACAGCGCTGTCCCCAGAGAGAACCAAGCCCCGTCCTCCCGACCCGTCCACCAAGCCCAAGGTATCCTGGATCCACAGCCGTTACAACTCCAGCCAGTCCAACTCGCTGCCCAGCCGCTCCCCAGAGCCAGCGGCCGCCCGGCCCAGCAGCCCCGAGCACGGCCAAGGTTTGGCCAAGAGGAAGAGGAGCCCCAGCGAGACGTCGGCTGGTGTGCATGGCAAAGCAGAGGAGAAGGGCGGCGGTGGCACACGTGGCAAGGAGAGACCGCAGAAGCACGCCAAGGAGCCCGGTGTCCCCGAGGGCAAAGCCAACCTTGCCACAGAGCCCCAGTCGCCTTCAAAACCCAAGCAGAGGAGCAAGGCCAGCTCAGAGCAGATGGAGAATATCAACGGGGCGGTGCAGAACGCCTTCAAAAAGATGGGCGGCTTCCATGCAGAGCGGCGGGCCGGGGAGGCGCCACGCAGCCCCAGTGCCGGCAAGCCGCGCTCCGAGGCTCTCCATCCCCACCTGGCCTCCGAGGCAGCCACGCTGCTGGCAGCCCAGCTGAAGGAAAAGACTCAGAGCCTCAACAAGGCGGAGGGCAGCGCCCGGCCCAACGGGGTGGGGGCCCAGCGGGAGAAGCCCACCCCACCCCAAAAAGCCAAGCGCTCGGCAGCCGCCGGCAGCCAGAAGGCCAGCAAGCCCCTGCTGCCCACCTCTCCCAACCTGCAGAAACTGATCCCCGCCACGGCCGAGCCGGCGGCTGGGGGCGAGCCCAGGCGGGTGGAGAAACAAACCGCGGTCAGCAGCCAGGACCCGGCTCCTCCGGGCGAGCAGACAGCCAAGAAGACACCCATTAAAAAGCCCCCCAGGAAGAAGAGCCGAGAAGCCACCCTGGAGCCGCCCAAAGCAGCCGTGGTGCCCACGCAGACGGTGCCGTAATGGGGAGCTGGGCACCTGGGAAGGACTTGTGGTGCCTGGACTGGAAGAGCCCCCAACCTCCTCATTCCACATCTCTCCCCTCATCCCCTTTTCTCCTGTCAGCCCATCTCCTCCACTGTCCCTGGACCTGGTACCCCCCTGGCGCTGTGCTCTCCACGCAGGGATGCAGGAGCCGGGGGCCCCCCCCCTTTTTTTGTAGCAGTATTATCGATCGCATAAGCAGTGCTTGTTGTACTAGACGTACCCATGTTATATTCTGCAGTAACGGAGCCGCTCGCTTCCCACGCCCCACTCCACTCTGCCAGGTCCCCACCGCAGTGCGGGGGCAAAGGGGATGGATGACACACGGGGCCATCGCCGGGGACATCCCCGTGTCCTCACCCAGACCTCCCTGCACTGCCACGTCAGCTTCTCCCCTCTCGGAGGTGCAGCCCCCGGTGCCGCCGCACCGCTCCCAGCGTGGGGTCGAGCTGGTTTCGACCGATGCCCCTGGCCCCAGGGCTGCTTGTGCTAGGAGCGGCAGCAGGAAAGCACTATTTAAGGCCCGGGCTGCACAGCACTTGGGGAGGCTGTTGTGGCTTCAGGAGGGATCTGGCCAGTGGAGTCAGGTAGATGGGTTTGGTACGACAGAGCCTGGCATCTCTGCAGAGCGCTTTTCTAATAAAAGTGTATTTCTTCCATACCCGGGTGCTGTCTCTCCGTACCCCAGGCTGCCCATGGAGCATCGCCTGGCCTCACTCGAGCACTTGGGATGCGGGGTCCTGAGTGGGATGCAGTGATACAGGAATGGAGGATGTGTCCCAGTGTGAGGCCAGGGGGTGACCCCTAAAGATAACGCTGTTCAGCGGTGATGCAGTGGCACAGGATGCCCAGGCAGTGGTGGAGTCACTGACCCTGGAGCCATGGAGATGTGGCGCTGAGGTACGTGGTCAGTGGGCATGGTGGGGTGAGGTTGGACTTGGAGATCTTAGAGATCTTTTCCAACCTCAGTGATTCTGTGATTCCAGACCAAGTTAGACCACCACATATTGTTTTATGCTGATTTTTTCTGCACGATAGGACTCTGAATCCCTTTTCCAAGCACCCCGCTGTGGCCTGCAGGCTTTCTCCCCACCACTGCACATTGGTTACCTCTAACAGAGAGCATCATGTGATGCACAGCACTGTGAGCACTTTGTTTTATGGTTTCCAGCCTCTGTTGATTTGCGGATCCCTAAACAATTTCCCCTGCAGCTGTGAGCCCCACTGGAAAGTTCACACTTAGCATAAATAAACTCGCTTTCCTTCTCCTCTTGAGGCCTTTGACCTCAAGGCATAACCAGCTGAATCCCATCACGAGAGGAAGTTGTAACACGGAATAATAACATAGAATGAGGGAATACAAAAGCAAGCAGGTCTTTTCCCCCCACTCCTCCCCAGGGATGATGCCCAGGTGGCATCGTGACACGGTGATCACCAACCCTGCAATGGGCACCGAGCACATGGTGGCCCCAATCCCCCACCAACCCTGTGCCACTGGTGTTTTTCCCATTTTGTCCCCATTTCCAAATAGCAAAAGAGGAGCCGTCGGGTTGGAAAACAGCACATTTGTTTTGGCTTGGCCCAGAGAGCGGCGATAAAAGCGAACCTGATTGCCAGCTATTCATTTCCTATTTCAGGCCCTACCAAAAATAAACTCAAAAAAAGGGAAATTCAAATGAGAATGAAATATGCATGAGACAGCGAGCTGCTAGGGTTGTATAAGGAAGCACTCGTCGTTTGGGGAGCGGCAGTGCTGGCAGTGTTTGATGCTGGGGGGGATTGCAGGGGGCTCAGGCACTGCAAACAACGCATGGACCATGCGCAGCACCTCAAGTGTTTGTGGGCATAAATGATGGGGAGAAGAAGCCTTCTGCGAGCAGATCTGAGAGCCTGAGCTTTTGTTGTAGCTCTGTTCAGTATAATTTAGGAAAGCATGAGTGCGTTTGCATCCAAGCACCCCAACAAGACCGCTTTGACAGGAGATGGACAGAGGCATCCCACCACCACTACCTGATTTATCCCCATGCCTGCGCTGGCCTGGATATGGGGGAGTGCTCGTGCTTGTTTAGTCTGTATGGGAGCACAAATCATGGCGCTGTGTCATGACTCTGCCAGGGTCTGGATTTCATTAGGAGCCACATGATCAGTGCGGGCTGCTGCGGCTGGCTGCTCTCCCTCTGTGCTGCACAAGACATGGGGGTGATGGCCGAGGTGCAGTGCTCAGCATCCTGCCCACAGGTGACCCCAGCAGAGCCTTTTCATTCATTGCATCCCCTGTGCCCATTGCGGCCCTTGCATCCTTTGCACCCCTTGTATCCTCTGTATCCTTTTTGCTCCTTGCAGCTTTTACAACCCTTGCAGCTCACTGCATCCTTTTGAAGCTCTGCAGCCCACTGCACCCCTTTGCATCCTTTCTGCCTCTTAGAGCCCTTGCAACATTTCCAACCCATTGCATCTTTTGCATCCCTTGCACCACTCTCTTGCATTCTTTGCACCCCACTGCATCATTTGCATCCTTTGTGCCCATCACAGCCCTTGAATCCTTCACATCTCTTGAATCCTGCTGTAGCCCTTGTATCTTTTGCATGCCTTGCAGCTGGTGCCTCTGTGCATGTGCTTCTCTCTCTCACTCCTTGCTCACACCCAGGCTGTACCATAGGGTGGTATGAACATATCCCCCAGCATCACCCAGCCCTGCTGACAAATCTGCCCTGTGAGCAGTGCAGACATGAGGGGCCCAGAACACCCCCTCCAGCCACCAAGTCACAACCAGCTCCTCCATAGAGACCCTGTGTTCTCCATGGGAGCCCCTAAATCCAGACCTTAGTTTAGCTACAGCTCAGGCTGAAATTCCCGTTCAGATGCTCAGCTCCTGAGGCCATAGCAGGGGAACACATTTACTGCACAGCGCTCGTTAAGTTTGGATAAACCCAGTGTACCCAAGGAGGTGGCTGTGAGGCTCCCGTGGTCCCCCCTCACCCAGGGGATGAGTGTGCAGGGGACTGAGGTTGGATGCAAGGCTGCAGAGGCACCAAGGGTGGTGACCACACACCCAGCACACCGGCTGGCAGAGTGCAGGACAGGGATAAAGGAATAGATGGACAAATCCCCCATATCCCCCAATTCCCCAGCCCAACCCAAAGCTGAGATCTGGGCTGTGGGCAGGATGCAATTTGGCTCTTGATCTGAGCTCTGGCCCTGCTATGCCCCCAGGCTCCCCATCACTTCCCATCATCCTCTACCAAGAAGGCTTTGGGCTTGTTTATGCCATGGTGCATTGATCTCTTTTGGCACAACTGGCTGCCCAGTGGAAACCCACAGCAGCTCCTGGCTCCAATATGGTGACTCAGAGCTGTGGTGACACAGCCACTGCCCCATGAGGGACACCGGGTTCTGGCAGCCATCTCCTGTGGATGGATTTGTGCTCGGGTTTCTCTGGAGGATTTGTTCCTAATTGCAATGTGCTCTGGTTGCAAAAAGGAGCCATCGCAATGCACACATGTGCACACTCTGCTCTCTGTTTGTATCAGGATCTCAGCATTTCTGACTGGCCAAACAGGACCTCCAAGGGAAGGTAAAAACCAGGCTCCCTTCCTCAGGTGTGCAGGGAGCAGTGGGCACCTGTGACCGCATCACCCTGGGATCTGAAGCCTCTGAGTCCAGCCACCACGATGCCCTCCAGGCTCTGTGAAGAGACGATGATGCAGCATGAGATGTGAACACCTCAGCCCCCAAATCCTGCCCTGGAAATGACAATCCACGTGCTGCTTGTGGCACTGCTGCTGATGCCATCTCCCTGCTGCCACCCCATCAAGAGCCCACACTGCCTCAGGTCATCAGCGTGCCCCTGTCCCCATCCCTTACGGCACTCGGGCAGCTCCAACCCCCAGCTCTGAATCAATGCCCCCAGCTGCCTTTCCCCAGTGCTGCCCCAATGCCCTGTCACCTCCCAGCTCTTGCACAAAGGCAGTGCTGGCCCTACACACTCCAAGCCCGCTGCCTCATGGCGTGCACACCGGCTCAAATATCCCTGCTGGTTCCCACAAGCAGCTCAGCCTTTCCAAAGCTCAGCCCTCGAGCCGGGAGGAGGCAGCACCCTGAGCCTGCCAAACTAATGAGAAGCGCATGGGACCCACATCTGGTAGCGATTGAGGGGGGAGCAGCGTTGGGAACGAAGGAAGCACATATTTCCTGCAGCACAAAGGAAGGGAGAGGAATGTTCACAGCAGAGCAGAACAGAGTTGGGGCCCTGGGGCGCAGGTCCTTCCCGCAGGCTGCTCCTTCACTTGGGGTAGGGGCACAAAGGCACGAGCAGCATCAGATCTGCGGACCCTCGTGCCAGCAATGGGGTTATGCTCCCACTAGAAACAGATTGGGAGCAGAAAACATAGAGCCAGCAAACTGCCTGAGAAGGGTTACGGGCTGGAGAGATCAAGGCAAGGGCTGCTCTGTGCCGCAACAACAGGAACGTGACTGGGACAGGGACAAGGCAGGGCTGTGCTCAGCAGAACGGAGGCCACATGGTACCACAGCACCATGTCAGGGCACTTGGTCCTGTGCTGGTACTGGGTGGGGTCCTGGCTCCCATCCCCGCTCATCCAAAGCTGCTGGAGGATTTGCAGGTTATATGGCCACAGCTACACAAAAACAGGACCTTGGGGCAGCAAAATGCTGCCTGGTTGGGATGCAGGTGAGGCAGGGCGAAAACCGAAACATCCAAAGCTGAGTGTCTCATCCCACGAGGAAGCTGATTTAAAAGCTGCAAGGTGGTGCAAGTCCTGTCAGCCACTGCACAGCAGGAGCCCTGCTCTGCCTGGCTGTTTGTGACACCCCTGATGTCACGGGGACACCAGGGCTTGCCATTGTGGCTGTGGCCCTTTCCAAGAGAGCTGAGCTGGAGCTGTGCAAGGCACATCAGCGGCGTCCCCAGCATGTAGCAGCAGTCACCCAGCAGGGAGCACAGGTAGCCAGCCTACAGGTAAGGACTGCAAACAGCACCCAAACTCACACATCTATCCACAGCTCTCAGCAAATCTTTGTGGCAGAGGATGGGGACAGAGGTCCTGGGGTGGTGAAGCCAGTGTATCACCAGCACTCTGGTAATCTGCACTGCCCCAGCCGAGCTGAGCACCACAACTAATCCCTTTAAATTAAAAGCCTATGTTTTCCATCCCCTACAACCTCAGCTGTAAGCAGCCAGGCTCTGCTCCACAGCTCTGCCTTTGGCAGCTGCAGCTCAGCAAAAACTCTTTGGCAGCTCCTGAGAACAGGGTTAGGAAAATGTAGGTGGATTTGCCTGTTAAAAATACATGGTGAGAGTGAGAGGGATTCATCATCATCCCACCCAAAGCCTGGGATTTGGGGATCACCCTCTTTGAGTGGAAAAAGGAGGCAGCCAAGCAAAACCCGAAGGGATGATTGATATTCAGGGACACTGCAGGGATGCCCCGTTTTCCCTGGGCATGTTCTGTGTTCTTCTTTGCCCAAGGAGGCTGTGGATGCCCCATCCCTGCCGGATTTCAAGGCCAGGCTGGACGTGGCTCTGGGCAGCCTGGTCTGCTGGTTGGCGACCTGCACACAGCAGGGGCTTGGAACTGACGATCACTGTGGTCCTTTGCAACCCA